CGTGTACTAGTTGAAGGTAGTTGTTCTCTTAAGATGCAAAGGCAATATTGGCCCCATGCTGCCCCCTCCCCGCCTCTTGTTTTTCATTTCAACGTGGAATTGACTTGTTGACTTTGAATCCTAGGTTCAAACATGCCTTGTACCCCTGAGGCAGTTCAGATTTTGAGGAAGGCTAGTGTTCTCATTGCTCCTGCAATGGCTGCAGGTGCTGGAGGGGTGGGTTTTTTACTTTAGTTTTTCTATGTATAATGCATACATATTCCCACCCTAATCACAGTGACATTAATGATTGTGCTAGTGGTGGTGGTTACAGTCACTGGCCCACTACCATTGTTTAGTCATGGAAACAGCCTCTCTCTGTTCATCAGAGTTTGTGTTTATTTGACTTTATTGAGACCCTACAATGGTTGGGTGCACTTACATCTGCTCTTGTTAAACTAATAATCTTTAACCCGAAGGTTTCATTTGACTGTGATTTAGCACCACAACAATTGACATGATCCTTATGGACTACTATAGGCTCATTTCGAGCGTTTTTCATATCACCATATAAAACATCAGATTGAAACAGTGATCATAAGTGTATAGGATTTGTTAAACTCATTTAATTCGTTTTATTTTCAATCAGTGACAGGTTCAATTTCAACATCAATATTAGCCATTAGATTTGTGTGGGCCTTTCTTAAATCTTCTGTTCTCCATGCTAACTTGCTTGCAGGTTGTGGCTGGAGAACTTGAACTGAATCATGAATGCAGTTTGATGCACTGGTCACCGGAGGACTTTGAATCTAAATTGCAGGTAGTTTGGTGAAATCAATTAGTCTTACAAATCATATAGTTTTCCTAACATTTGTGGTTTGGGGCTAACTCACCCCAAAAAATCAGTTTTAAAGTAAGACTTGCCTAATCATATATTTAGTCGATGTAGAATTTCTAATATTAACACTCATGTTGAGAATTGACATTTAAAGCATGAGACTAGATATTTACATTTTTAGTGATTGTAAATGGTTGCTAGATTTGGTGTTGTCTAGTTCTATGTTGTTCTTATTGACTCTTCCTATTCAATTGAACTTATCTCATTCTTAAGTTATTTGAAAAGAATGATACAGTTTCCCTAAAATAAGTTATGTTTCTTCTTTGCAAAGGAATACATTGTAATGTGTTCTTTTAGTTAACAATTTTTCTCTCACACTTCAGTAAACATTTTTAGGAAATCCTACATCATCTGCCTAAATGCTTAGAATGTGACCTATATATATCTGTTTGACAGCTTCAATTAATATATATTATTAAACTGAAATGTGACATGATACCAAAGATTATTATAGCTTATATTGGTATATTGCTTATTCTGATTCTAATAGGTTCATCTGGTCTGAAAGACATTAGTGGAGGGGGGTATCTCAATTTTTTGAGTGTGGCTTTTTTGTATTTGATGGGAAAAACTTCACTAAATGCTAGTTGGTTTTAAATTGAAGTCTTACATGCATAAACGGCATACAAGTTACAACTTTATGTCAACTTCTGTCTTCAAATTTGCCTGTTTAGGATGCAATGAAGCAGACTTATCAGAGAGCTATCAAAGCTGCAACTGATTTTGGTTATCAAAAGGAAAGTCCCGAGTAAGTGCTTTCTTCATTAACCTTACAACAACAATGAAGGCTACTACATAAACTTTAATTCCCAAAATTATCCTCGGTATAAACATAGTAGATATGTGAATTTCTGAGATGCAGTGTTTTTCTATTGTAAACAAACTTAGAACACATATTAGCCATCCTTGTATTACTCTTTTATATGAAACTTTTAATGGAAACTGTAGATTCTTGTGGGTGTAGTTTCCTTGCAATGGACTTATAGCACTCATCTTGAAATGCCTTCTAAATTTGCAGCTCTGATTTAATATTTGTATGGTTGTTATGTCAGGGCTCTGGTGCATGGAGCAGTAATATCTNGATGCACTGGTCACCGGAGGACTTTGAATCTAAATTGCAGGTAGTTTGGTGAAATCAATTAGTCTTACAAATCATATAGTTTTCCTAACATTTGTGGTTTGGGGCTAACTCACCCCAAAAAATCAGTTTTAAAGTAAGACTTGCCTAATCATATATTTAGTCGATGTAGAATTTCTAATATTAACACTCATGTTGAGAATTGACATTTAAAGCATGAGACTAGATATTTACATTTTTAGTGATTGTAAATGGTTGCTAGATTTGGTGTTGTCTAGTTCTATGTTGTTCTTATTGACTCTTCCTATTCAATTGAACTTATCTCATTCTTAAGTTATTTGAAAAGAATGATACAGTTTCCCTAAAATAAGTTATGTTTCTTCTTTGCAAAGGAATACATTGTAATGTGTTCTTTTAGTTAACAATTTTTCTCTCACACTTCAGTAAACATTTTTAGGAAATCCTACATCATCTGCCTAAATGCTTAGAATGTGACCTATATATATCTGTTTGACAGCTTCAATTAATATATATTATTAAACTGAAATGTGACATGATACCAAAGATTATTATAGCTTATATTGGTATATTGCTTATTCTGATTCTAATAGGTTCATCTGGTCTGAAAGACATTAGTGGAGGGGGGTATCTCAATTTTTTGAGTGTGGCTTTTTTGTATTTGATGGGAAAAACTTCACTAAATGCTAGTTGGTTTTAAATTGAAGTCTTACATGCATAAACGGCATACAAGTTACAACTTTATGTCAACTTCTGTCTTCAAATTTGCCTGTTTAGGATGCAATGAAGCAGACTTATCAGAGAGCTATCAAAGCTGCAACTGATTTTGGTTATCAAAAGGAAAGTCCCGAGTAAGTGCTTTCTTCATTAACCTTACAACAACAATGAAGGCTACTACATAAACTTTAATTCCCAAAATTATCCTCGGTATAAACATAGTAGATATGTGAATTTCTGAGATGCAGTGTTTTTCTATTGTAAACAAACTTAGAACACATATTAGCCATCCTTGTATTACTCTTTTATATGAAACTTTTAATGGAAACTGTAGATTCTTGTGGGTGTAGTTTCCTTGCAATGGACTTATAGCACTCATCTTGAAATGCCTTCTAAATTTGCAGCTCTGATTTAATATTTGTATGGTTGTTATGTCAGGGCTCTGGTGCATGGAGCAGTAATATCTGCCTTTCTAACCATTGCTCAAGCCATGACTGATCAAGGCTCTGTATAGAAGTTCATATTGCCAAGTTTTGAATGCATCCAAATGCGGATCTTAATCAGTTAGCACCGTGGCTGGGAATCTGCATTCACTGAATAATCCAAATCATTGCTGCTGCTGTGTCAAATTGTCAATGCTAGGATGGCACTATTTGCCAAAGCATATTTCCTTGAAAAATATATAAGAAAGATTAAGCTTAGAAAAAGAAAGATATTTAGAGGATCATATTTAGTTTAACAACAGAAGAGACATCTTCATTGTTGCCAAGAAAAAGGAGAAAGTGTCCTTGGCTTATTGAACTCATCTTGATGCTTGTCTCGAACTTGAGATAATAAATAAAAGGTTAGCATTGAAATTGAATTTAATATGCTTTCTTGTTTGGAAGTCTTTATACCAATATGAGAAAATCAGTCCACGGAGATAGATTGATATGAGAAGGATGATCACATATCTACTATGTCTATACACATTATATAATGTAAGAAATATTTAATTATTAACCAGTTCCTTACTAATTATATTTTTAAGTTAAATTATCATTCAGAACACTTGTCGGGAACATATCAGGAGTTGGATAGTTAAATATTAACTAAAAGTTAATACATAATAAAAATTTCATATTTTAAATATTCTATGAAAATTCTAATGTGATATATAGTGGAAACAATTACGTTATGTGTCCATGTTTTTTAGTAAACTTTTATTAAATTATTAAATGATTGTTATTAAAAATTATTATGAAAATAATTTGTATAATTTTTTATTACAAATAATTATTTGAATTTAAAAAAATAGTTATTGAAATAATAAGATGGAAAAATAATTATTTTAATTTATTAAAATAATCAAATTTAGATTAACAGACTAAAAATGAAAATATAATTATTTTAGTTCAAAACAATGATTATCTAAGGAGTAAGATTAAAAGAAAAAAATTATATACACCAAAATAATTATTCCTCTTTATATATAAGTATAGTTGACATGAAAGTGATGAGTATATTGTATTTCTTTTAATTAAAATTTAATTACCTTTCAAACCAAAATTCCTGTGAAGTATGATATGTGTTTTTAGCTTTTTCTATTTGATAGCAAATTTGATAATGTTAAAAATTAAAATATGATAAATGAAATCTACATTCCTTAAATGTATCTCTCTTAAAACAATTTAATTATATGATGTCTTATCGATATAAATTTTAAAACTTAAAAAAAGTCGTGCATTTTTATTCATGGACACTTTATTTCATGAATGGTTTTCAATGAGTTTTAATTAATTAAAGAGAGTAAATTAAAGATAATATGATGGATATCATGTTCCTAAGAGTGCAACTAATTAATTAGTTTTTTTTTTTAAAATACATGAAAATATCGTATTTTGATATATTCATGAGTCATAATAACTTGAAATCATTTTAGATCATTTTCTTCATTAAAATTAAAATAGGAACCTTGCATTTTATGGATTACAATTCTTAGTTCACAACGACCTTGTTATGCTCACATTTTAAAACGCAAAAAATAAAAAAATAAATCGACAATTTTGATTAAAATTTTTATAAAAACAATACTCTTAACTAAAAGTAAATTACCTACAATTGTTTTTAAAAACTACTCAAATTTGTTTTTCTTGTTGTACTATGAAATACTCAGCAGGAAAGGGATACCTTAGTGAGGAAGACATATTTTTCTTATTTTGAAGATAAATTAATTTATTTTAAATAAAAATATTGCTCTGTAATAAATAAAAACATTGAAAAATTAAATAATCTGACAAAGTATATGTGAAAATTATTTCTAAAAAAAATTCCGAAATATACATCCTGGTCACTCTTCACTGCCCCCACTTTCTTCGATTTCTGAAATACCTAACAAAACAAACAGTTCCAGAAACAATCATTAAACTCCCCAGCTATGTTTTTGTTCCACACACATCAAACTCCACTCTCTAACCTCAATTTCGAATTAAAGTTTCCTCCTTTTACTGCTCCAATCTCCCCTCTTTGATCTCACTTGCACGAGATGCTCAAAACCTCCACTTTTCCAGTCTGTCACTTTGGTTCAATTTCTTAAGGTATTTGAGCTCAGTGGTCAAATTCAACTTCTGGGTATTTCTGCAAATTTAGTTATCATTTGTTGGTTGTTGGAAAAAAATCAATTTTTTGCTCCATCAGGTGTGGTGTTTGTGGACACTGACCTTTTGTGTTTGTGAGGATTATGAGATTTATGCTCTGCCTTGGGGTTTGAATGATTGTCAGCTCCGATGGGTGCTAGCTAGAATGGGGTTGAGGGAAGTTTTGAAAGAGTTTATTCAATTTAAATGTTGTCTGCGTACTAGAAATGGTGTTCATGTTTGAGATTTTTGTTAATTTTTGTTTTGAAGAACTCAAGCCTGCCTAGCCAGTGCCACTGTTATGATGTCTATTCGAGTGGTAGGGTACTTTATGTTGTCCATGTCTATTCTAAGTCAATTGCGCCAACTGATTTAGACATGTGTTTGTCATGTGGATGAGTTTGGTTTGTTTGTTCCGTTAATTCTAAAATAGGTAAGTTGGTGATTTGATGTATATCTTTTGCAGAAAGCAAATCATTTAAAATTCGCTTTGAGGGCTGTCATGCTGAATGTTGTTGCCAACCAGTGGAATAGTAGGGATGAATTCTGTAATGGATGATATGGCTTTGATTCAGCAAAGTCAGAGACATAATTTGGTTGTGAGAGAACTTGGTGAGGAGATTGATTTAGAAATTGGACCTGGGGATGATGACCCTTCGTTTGGTAATGCTACTCTAATTGGTGCACCAATGCGGGAATCTTCCGCAGAAGAACATGGTGAGAGCAAGCAGATGGGGATGGTTTCTCAACTTTCTAATGATGCTCAAGATATGTCCAAGAACCAGCAAGTGAAAAGGAAGAAAAAGGTTGTTAAAAGATGGAGAGAAGAATGGGCGGACACCTATAAATGGGCTTTTGTAGATATGAAGGATGGGACACCTAGGATTTTCTGCTCTGTCTGCAGGGAGTATGGGCGAAAGCATAGAAGAAATCCTTATGGGAATGAGGGCAGTCGTAATATGCAAATGAGTGCTCTGGAAGAACACAATAACAGTTTGCTTCACAAAGAGGCTCTTCGTCTTCAAATGGCCTCCAAAGATAAAATTGTGGTTGACAAGCCTGTTTACGTAAAAGGTTGGCCTCCTCAGCATGCTGACTGGCATGGAAAGATAATATTTTGAGCACTGTCTATGAATATGTTGATGGTCGTATACTGAGTTTTCAAATAGTTGAATTATATCACTTGGTGTGCTCTTTACCTATTTATTTTACATTGTGGTCATTAGTTCTTAATAGATATTTATGTAAATTATGTTGGATTTTTAAGAAAGATGCAGTTTATCAATTTTATAGGATAATAGGAATCTGCCTCGCTGATCAATTTTGTTAGTTCCTCCTTTATACTTAAACAGTGGTACATTCTCTGGACCTGGTCCATAATATTCAAATTTGAATACATGAACAGTAAAGATACTTTCAGTTCTTATTTGAGTTTTTCTATCCTTTCCTGATATTGAACAGTCAGACTTCAGATTGTCATTACTCTAGCAAATTTCAGTTTATTTCTGTTGTTCTGTATGATAGAATTTCTATTTTACAATTGATATATTAAATTTCTTGAAATTAAAACATTTTGGATGTCTACACACTAAATAGTATGTTGAGTTGATAAGAAGTTATCTTCTTTATTATGACGGTACTTATGTTTTGGGTATTGTCTGACAATTCTATAATTGAACTTGCCATGTTAAAAACAGCAGGATCAATACTTGAAGCTACACTAAAAAGGGATCCTCATGAGTTTGAATTCATTCAGGCAGTCCAGGAAGCAGTTCAAGCCCTTGAAAGAGTCATAGCAAAAAATTCTCGGTGTGCTTTTATTCCAATGGCTATAATTATGTATTTATCTATCAACAAATGATTTTTGGATGCATCTAATGAATATTCTCATGTTTCAGATATGTTAATATAATGGAGCGCTTGTTGGAACCTGAACGGATGATTGTTTTTCGAGTATCATGGGTGGATGATAGGGGTGAGACACATGTAAATCGAGGCTTTAGGGTACAATTTAACCAGTCGATGGGTCCATGTAGGGGAGGTATTCGTTTTCATCCATCAATGAATTTAAGTATTGCCAAGTTCCTTGGTTTTGAACAGGTATTATGAGTATTTTTGGTATTCATATATATAACATTATTTCTTATAAGTAATGGCTTAAATCTTGCAGAATTAAACCTTTTTTAATGCCATCACATTTTTGTTTCCATGAATTGGAAGCTAATATACTTCCTTTTTAATCCTTTGAGCTATTACTCAACAAGAGTGCACATTATATATAAAATATTTTCGTCCTTTTTTTTTGGGGTGGACAAGGTGGGGGGAGTCATGTAATCATCAATCCCCCTACATTTGGGCTATATGTTAAACACTTACGTTTTACATTTCATCACCATGGTAGAACCCACCTTTTTCTTTTCTTATTTTTCTTTTAGCATCATCTGATGTCACTATTAGGGGGTATTAGTTGTCTGTATATCTGATTTTAACAGATCAAACACATAATAAATGAGAGAACAAATAAGCAAATACGAGTGCTTGCATATGCAATGTCCATATAGAATTCAAGGGTGTAGGAGTAAAACAATAAGAGAGAGAGAGAGAGAGAGAGAGAGAGAGAGAATAAATGTCAGGGTGATATTAAACAGATGGTGAGAGCACATAATGAATACGGAGGGGGCAGGGTCAGTGTTGGAGTTCTTTTAAATACTCTCTTTAGGTGAATTTTGCGACATGGATTTCTTAGATGCCTAAAATTGGTTGGTACCTATTACACTAACATAGGATGCATGAGTTTGATTTATTTTATGTATGTGCTTGATTTCTTCTACTAATGTGTTTTTACTGCACATGTAGGTATGCTGTTTATGTGCAATTGATAAGCAAACCTTCCAATTTCTTATCTGCCTAATATAATTAAGGCAGTAAATTAAAAATGTGAAAATCAGCACTGTATGCCATACCTCTAAAATATTTCCTAAAATAAAGATTGGCAAGATCTTCGAAGTATTTCTAACATGGATAGATCTTGTGTGACCTATTTACTTTATGTTAGGAGATATAATGATTGAGACAGAAAACCTGCATTCATTCAAAATATTATTTTTTTCCGTAATAAGGTGTAGAGTTTAGTTGAGTAACAGTGTGTATCTTGAAGCCTTTCTTTTTTATTCTGAGTTGCATTTTTGTTTTGGTCCACTTTTAGTTTAACAATACAATCTTCTCTACAGACTTTAAAGAATGCCTTATCGCCATACAAATTAGGAGGAGCAGCTGGTGGAAGTGACTTTGATCCAAAAGGAAAAAGTGATAATGAGGTAAATTTTCATATAATGATTTGATCTCTAGTGGTTTTATAATTACTAAATGTTACTTTGATAAGTTGGCAGATTATGCGATTTTGCCAAAGTTTCATGAGTGAGATGTATCGCTACCTAGGGCCTGACAAGGTAACTGAGCATATTATTTTTCTACATCTTTTAACTGTGCCACATCCAAGTCCTATTTCATGTATATTCTTGTGATGAATGTCTATCAGGATCTTCCATCAGAGGAAATGGGTGTTGGTACTCGAGAAATGGGATATCTTTTTGGACAGTATAGACGTCTCGCTGGTCATTTTCAGGTAATGCAACCATAACAAACGATTTAGTGTAAAAATAAATATTTTACCTTTTTCTTATGTATTTTCCTCTGTATGTTTATCCCTCACACCTGAATTGCTTAATGCATTTTATGTAAAATGTCAGTAGAATAAATCTCATTGACCAAGGGAAAAGTGAGTAAATAGGTAGAACAAACTCAAAGACATGCATCTTCCATTTGCAAACCTAGAGTAAGTATTATTGTCTACATATTTTGTAATTTTGATCATCCTTTTGTTGNAGTCTGTCACTTTGGTTCAATTTCTTAAGGTATTTGAGCTCAGTGGTCAAATTCAACTTCTGGGTATTTCTGCAAATTTAGTTATCATTTGTTGGTTGTTGGAAAAAAATCAATTTTTTGCTCCATCAGGTGTGGTGTTTGTGGACACTGACCTTTTGTGTTTGTGAGGATTATGAGATTTATGCTCTGCCTTGGGGTTTGAATGATTGTCAGCTCCGATGGGTGCTAGCTAGAATGGGGTTGAGGGAAGTTTTGAAAGAGTTTATTCAATTTAAATGTTGTCTGCGTACTAGAAATGGTGTTCATGTTTGAGATTTTTGTTAATTTTTGTTTTGAAGAACTCAAGCCTGCCTAGCCAGTGCCACTGTTATGATGTCTATTCGAGTGGTAGGGTACTTTATGTTGTCCATGTCTATTCTAAGTCAATTGCGCCAACTGATTTAGACATGTGTTTGTCATGTGGATGAGTTTGGTTTGTTTGTTCCGTTAATTCTAAAATAGGTAAGTTGGTGATTTGATGTATATCTTTTGCAGAAAGCAAATCATTTAAAATTCGCTTTGAGGGCTGTCATGCTGAATGTTGTTGCCAACCAGTGGAATAGTAGGGATGAATTCTGTAATGGATGATATGGCTTTGATTCAGCAAAGTCAGAGACATAATTTGGTTGTGAGAGAACTTGGTGAGGAGATTGATTTAGAAATTGGACCTGGGGATGATGACCCTTCGTTTGGTAATGCTACTCTAATTGGTGCACCAATGCGGGAATCTTCCGCAGAAGAACATGGTGAGAGCAAGCAGATGGGGATGGTTTCTCAACTTTCTAATGATGCTCAAGATATGTCCAAGAACCAGCAAGTGAAAAGGAAGAAAAAGGTTGTTAAAAGATGGAGAGAAGAATGGGCGGACACCTATAAATGGGCTTTTGTAGATATGAAGGATGGGACACCTAGGATTTTCTGCTCTGTCTGCAGGGAGTATGGGCGAAAGCATAGAAGAAATCCTTATGGGAATGAGGGCAGTCGTAATATGCAAATGAGTGCTCTGGAAGAACACAATAACAGTTTGCTTCACAAAGAGGCTCTTCGTCTTCAAATGGCCTCCAAAGATAAAATTGTGGTTGACAAGCCTGTTTACGTAAAAGGTTGGCCTCCTCAGCATGCTGACTGGCATGGAAAGATAATATTTTGAGCACTGTCTATGAATATGTTGATGGTCGTATACTGAGTTTTCAAATAGTTGAATTATATCACTTGGTGTGCTCTTTACCTATTTATTTTACATTGTGGTCATTAGTTCTTAATAGATATTTATGTAAATTATGTTGGAATTTTAAGAAAGATGCAGTTTATCAATTTTATAGGATAATAGGAATCTGCCTCGCTGATCAATTTTGTTAGTTCCTCCTTTATACTTAAACAGTGGTACATTCTCTGGACCTGGTCCATAATATTCAAATTTGAATACATGAACAGTAAAGATACTTTCAGTTCTTATTTGAGTTTTTCTATCCTTTCCTGATATTGAACAGTCAGACTTCAGATTGTCATTACTCTAGCAAATTTCAGTTTATTTCTGTTGTTCTGTATGATAGAATTTCTATTTTACAATTGATATATTAAATTTCTTGAAATTAAAACATTTTGGATGTCTACACACTAAATAGTATGTTGAGTTGATAAGAAGTTATCTTCTTTATTATGACGGTACTTATGTTTTGGGTATTGTCTGACAATTCTATAATTGAACTTGCCATGTTAAAAACAGCAGGATCAATACTTGAAGCTACACTAAAAAGGGATCCTCATGAGTTTGAATTCATTCAGGCAGTCCAGGAAGCAGTTCAAGCCCTTGAAAGAGTCATAGCAAAAAATTCTCGGTGTGCTTTTATTCCAATGGCTATAATTATGTATTTATCTATCAACAAATGATTTTTGGATGCATCTAATGAATATTCTCATGTTTCAGATATGTTAATATAATGGAGCGCTTGTTGGAACCTGAACGAATGATTGTTTTTCGAGTATCATGGGTGGATGATAGGGGTGAGACACATGTAAATCGAGGCTTTAGGGTACAATTTAACCAGTCGATGGGTCCATGTAGGGGAGGTATTCGTTTTCATCCATCAATGAATTTAAGTATTGCCAAGTTCCTTGGTTTTGAACAGGTATTATGAGTATTTTTGGTATTCATATATATAACATTATTTCTTATAAGTAATGGCTTAAATCTTGCAGAATTAAACCTTTTTTAATGCCATCACATTTTTGTTTCCATGAATTGGAAGCTAATATACTTCCTTTTTAATCCTTTGAGCTATTACTCAACAAGAGTGCACATTATATATAAAATATTTTCGTCCTTTTTTTTTGGGGTGGACAAGGTGGGGGGAGTCATGTAATCATCAATCCCCCTACATTTGGGCTATATGTTAAACACTTACGTTTTACATTTCATCACCATGGTAGAACCCACCTTTTTCTTTTCTTATTTTTCTTTTAGCATCATCTGATGTCACTATTAGGGGGTATTAGTTGTCTGTATATCTGATTTTAACAGATCAAACACATAATAAATGAGAGAACAAATAAGCAAATACGAGTGCTTGCATATGCAATGTCCATATAGAATTCAAGGGTGTAGGAGTAAAACAATAAGAGAGAGAGAGAGAGAGAGAGAGAGAGAGAGAGAATAAATGTCAGGGTGATATTAAACAGATGGTGAGAGCACATAATGAATACGGAGGGGGCAGGGTCAGTGTTGGAGTTCTTTTAAATACTCTCTTTAGGTGAATTTTGCGACATGGATTTCTTAGATGCCTAAAATTGGTTGGTACCTATTACACTAACATAGGATGCATGAGTTTGATTTATTTTATGTATGTGCTTGATTTCTTCTACTAATGTGTTTTTACTGCACATGTAGGTATGCTGTTTATGTGCAATTGATAAGCAAACCTTACAATTTCTTATCTGCCTAATATAATTAAGGCAGTAAATTAAAAATGTGAAAATCAGCACTGTATGCCATACCTCTAAAATATTTCCTAAAATAAAGATTGGCAAGATCTTCGAAGTATTTCTAACATGGATAGATCTTGTGTGACCTATTTACTTTATGTTAGGAGATATAATGATTGAGACAGAAAACCTGCATTCATTCAAAATATTATTTTTTTCCGTAATAAGGTGTAGAGTTTAGTTGAGTAACAGTGTGTATCTTGAAGCCTTTCTTTTTTATTCTGAGTTGCATTTTTGTTTTGGTCCACTTTTAGTTTAACAATACAATCTTCTCTACAGACTTTAAAGAATGCCTTATCGCCATACAAATTAGGAGGAGCAGCTGGTGGAAGTGACTTTGATCCAAAAGGAAAAAGTGATAATGAGGTAAATTTTCATATAATAATTTGATCTCTAGTGGTTTTATAATTACTAAATGTTACTTTGATAAGTTGGCAGATTATGCGATTTTGCCAAAGTTTCATGAGTGAGATGTATCGCTACCTAGGGCCTGACAAGGTAACTGAGCATATTATTTTTCTACATCTTTTAACTGTGCCACATCCAAGTCCTATTTCATGTATATTCTTGTGATGAATGTCTATCAGGATCTTCCATCAGAGGAAATGGGTGTTGGTACTCGAGAAATGGGATATCTTTTTGGACAGTATAGACGTCTCGCTGGTCATTTTCAGGTAATGCAACCATAACAAACGATTTAGTGTAAAAATAAATATTTTACCTTTTTCTTATGTATTTTCCTCTGTATGTTTATCCCTCACACCTGAATTGCTTAATGCATTTTATGTAAAATGTCAGTAGAATAAATCTCATTGACCAAGGGAAAAGTGAGTAAATAGGTAGAACAAACTCAAAGACATGCATCTTCCATTTGCAAACCTAGAGTAAGTATTATTGTCTACATATTTTGTAATTTTGATCATCCTTTTGTTGTTAGCTTATCTCTTTTGAAGTACAATGATGTAGATCTGCGTTAACTTTCCCCTTAATTTTTCCTATCCTCTAGAGAATCTCTCGATGTTCTTATGGTTAAGATTGGGCATGTGTGGAGAAGATCTACCGAAGCCCTGGTTAGGAGAGTAGATAACTAGTGGCAGGGGGAGGTTAAGAAAAAATTGTGATGAAAACCGTCAAGGAGTATGTATGGGCATGATTTATGATACAAAATTAGCACATTGTTTTACTCATGTAATTACTACACCATAGTTGTTAATAGCTCCCTTTAGCGGCACAATAGTCATGCAACAGTGTATGCTAGCATCCGAATGCTATCCAAACCTATAGTGGAGCATTTTTATGTAGCAGGCTAGCAGGAGTCACAGCTATGAAGTGCTTCCTTCAGCCTAGAAATTTGTGGCCATTGTGCCTGCTACTGTTGACAAAAGGAAAATTCCCTCACTCACTACCCTTTTTCTTTTTTGGTATTTTTGTCTGAGATAGGGTTTTTTTAATAAGAATGGCTAGGTTTATGTTGTGAGAAGTTCAGAACAAACATGAGACCTAACAGCAGTGTGGCCCAAGAGCACCTTGATTTTGGTAAACATGTTCATTTATGGCAACTCAGTTCTTATGGCAGTTGGGGTGTTGTTTCTGTCTTTCTGGTGAATCGACATCTTGTTCTACAGTTTAGTTCTGTTTTCTCTCCAACACAGCTTTTTGTGTTCTCCATCCATCAGATTGACATGTTACCTTCATTGTATTGTCGTATTTCTTTTTCTTTACTTATAAGTTTTAATTTGAGTCTTGAGCGACCACATGACTACTCTGTTTTTTTATTTATTGACTTTTGTGGTTATAAGCTTGTGTACTTAGCTTAAGACTCTTATAAATATTGACATTTGTGGAAGAAAGAAAACTATTTCTTTTGTTGGGTAATTTTCATATGTATCCCTCACTTATGCAGGGAAGTTTTACAGGGCCAAGGATCTTTTGGTCTGGCTCCAGTCTTCGACCTGAAGCTACTGGCTATGGACTGGTAATTTCAATGTTTAATTCTTGATATCTATGGGTTTATGGTGGGATATGTAATTTGGAGTGGTTATGTATGAATTGAGCTCTTTGGTAGCCTTCCATTTTCTTATGCATTTCCTTGTTCAATAAAAAAGAAGAGAATATCTAACCACTATTGTTTAAAATCTCAAATAAGGCAACTCATCATATCAGAGGAAAGAGCATGTAAGATGGAAGTTCATTCTAGCCTAGAAGATCATCATAAAAAGGTTCTGCATTCCTAGTTTAAAGTTATTAAATTTTTAACAAGTTTGTCATTCTTCTGCAGGTTTTCTTTGCGCAGATCATGCTTGCTGACATGAATAAAGAACTTAAAGGATTAAGGTTTTTATTTTAATTTCGACCATTGCATAAATATTGTTGCTATTGACTCTATTAATAAGTGGACTTTAAGTCTAACTCAATCCCACAAAACTAGCTTGTAAGGTGAGGTTTTCATCCACATATATACTCTAAATCGGTCTTATCTCTAATCGATGTAGGACTTTCAACACACTCCCTCACGATGAGGTATATACATCTTATGCGTGAGACTAGATATTAATAGATGGTTCGATAGCAGGTGGAATGATATGGCCAACAAAACACAAATCTCACTAGGATAGATTGTAACTCATGGATCTGATACTATGATAAGAAATGGACTTTAAGCCTAACTCAATCCAATAAAACCAGCTTATAAGGTGAGGTTCGCACCTACATATATACCTCAAATTAGCTTTATCTATAATCGATATGGAGCTTCCAACAAACTCATTAATTATCGGTGCTACCTTCTTGACCCTCATTTCCTTGTTATAATTAAGTATCTTTATGAGGATTTGAATATTTTATTTTTGACTCGGTAGTATTTTTCTTGAGTTATGAATTCCATTAATGTTAGATACTTGAAAACTCTTATTTTCTATAATTTAATTTATTAACTTATTAGATTCTTTTTAAGACAATTATCTGGTGTGAAATTTCTTGCTTCCTAAATTGGTTTCCACTCAGTTGTGATCCTGGAATACTCTTCTAATTTATAATTTCCTGTAGATGTGTTGTGAGCGGCTCTGGAAAGATTGCAATGCATGTTTTGGAGAAGCTAATTGCTTATGGTGCACTTCCCATTTCAGTATCAGGTAATTTTGTATTTTAATGATTTTGAATATAATGGGGCTACTGCATAGGATGCTTTGTCTGTGTTCATTTATTTTAGCAAGAATGAAAATTTGCGCTATGTTACTGCATAAGTTTTCATCTTTATATATAGATCATCATTAAGAATTGTACTAATTGAATCTAGAGTTCCCATATCATTTTGGGTACCTTTGTGTATCACCCTGGTCAAGGAGGATGTTTTTTAAAAAAGGCATTTGTCAGATTCCAGAGGATATTTGGTTGATGAGGATGGATTTGACTACATGAAAATATCATTTCTGAGAGACATCAAAGCTCAGCAAAGAAGTTTGCGGTTTGTATCATTTCTGTTGTTTGTTTATGCTTTATGCTTGCTTACTGTGTATAATTTCACTGGTTCATAAATTGACAATATGTAGAGACTATTCAAAAACCTATGCTCGGTCCAAATATTATGATGAAGCAAAACCGTGGAGTGAAAGGTGTGATGTTGCATTTGCTTGTGCTTCACATAATGAAATTGATCAATCTGATGCCATTAACTTGGTTAATTCAGGTTGTCGTATACTTGTAGAAGGTAGTTGTTCTTCTAACTTCTGAGACATATATGGCTTGTGCCCTTCCTCTTCTTCCAGGTATATTCTAATAGAAGCTACTTGTTCAATTCAAATACCAGGTTCAAACATGCCTTGTACCCCTGACGCAGTTCAGATTTTCAGAAAAGCTAGTGTTCTCATTGCTCCTGCAATGGCTGCTGGTGCTGGAGGGGTGAGATTAAAATTATTTCATACTATTGCCCTCACCTTAACCGAAGCAACACAACATTGATGATCATAGTGCGGCCACTTTTATTTTGAATGCAACCATGATGAAAATGCTAACATAATCCACCGTAATTGAGAATGCTTATGGAAAATTAGTTCTGTATTGTAATTTATTTATTAGCCATCAGTTGGAATGGGGACGTAGAGAAACAGGAAAGGAGATGGAATAGTTTTGTACTGTTGGGTCCTTGTATGCAGAACTTAACATCTTCAATTTCCCCCAAAATTTCCAGCATAGCATTAGTTGTTTAATGAATACTTCCCTGCACTAAACCTTCATTAGATGTGAATATTTCGCAGGTGATGAGCGTGAGCCTTGGCTCAACATAAGTTTTTGTTGTATGACTAATGATAATTGGTTCTAGTCAAGCAAATAGCCTCTCATGTGTATATCTGACTTTCTTCAGCCTCTAAAATACAGAGGTTCTCTCCCACACTTTTGTACATGCTAAAGAGATACCATCATTAACTAGAAGGTTCATTTGACAATGATTTAATTGACTACCAAACCAACTATATAATCAGTTGAGTTAGCACAGCAAAGCAGTCCATTGATATCTCTATTGTGGGATCCCCTTGTGGAGTGCTATATGCAATTACATGAACAACTCTTTAGAATTATTAGAACCTCTAGTCAAGCTGTGCCTGAATAGGCTTATTTTAACTATTAACATTAACCATTTAACAGTAAAATATCAAATTGGAACTCTGATCGCAAGCTTATGTTGGATTGATTAACATCATTTAATTGATCTCCTGTTCAACTTTTAGATTCCATTTCAACATCAAACATTAGACAAGACATTTGGATGGACCTTTCTTCAGTCATCTGTTTTCCTTGCCTGCAGGTTGTAGCTGGAGAACTTGAACTGAATCATGAATGCAGTTTGATGCACTGGTCACCGGAGGACTTTGAATCTAAATTGCAGGTACTTTTGCGAAATCAAATTGCTTTTGCACACTATATTGTTTGCCTTTTAAGAATAGTAAATGGTAGTTTGGTTTGATATCATCTTTGTTGTATGAATGCTCTTATTTACACTTCCTATTTAAACTGAACTGAGCTCATTCTTCCACTCTTTTTGAAAAGAATTATAATGAACTCGGTTATGTTTATATGCGCAAAGGAACACATTATGGATTGAGTTGTGTACATGTGTGCATGTATTTGAGGTTTTCTGTTTTTGGTTTTGGGCTATGAGTTTGACAATTATAGTATACATGAGGCACATTAAGAATGTTATGACTGGTGCCAGATGAAATTTGACATATAGCTTAAGTGGAAATTGAGTCATCAATGTTTAATATTTTTTCTTTCACGCTTCATTATGCATCAGTCACATACTGTTTTTATACCAACTCATCAAATTTACTGTTTCTTTGGGCAGGAAGCAATGAAACAGACTTATCAGAGAGCTATAAAAGCTGCAACTGACTTTGGTTATCAAAAAGAAAGCCCTGAGTAAGTTTTTATTTTCAGTAACATTACAACAATGGTAACTGTAGATTCTTGCTATGGATTTTTTTTAATGATCATTCATCTTGAAATGTCTTTCTTTTAATATGCTGCCGTAGTTAATGTTTACTATTTGCTTGTTGTCATGCCAGGGCTCTGGTGCATGGAGCAGTCATATCTGCCTTTCTAACCATTGCCCAAGCCATGACTGATCAAGGTTCTATATAGAAGTTTATATAGCAATGTTTTGAATGCATCCAAATATTGATGTTTGCGATTGGCACCATGGTTGAAAATCTCCATTTACGGAATAGTCCAAAGCATTGTTGATTCTAGTGTCAAGTTGTCAATGATAGGTGACACTATTGCCAAAGCATGTTTCCTTGTAAAATATGTAATCAAATGTAAGAAAAATTAGACTTAGAAAAGAATTTAGAGGACAAATTTTAGTTTAACAACCAGAAAATGCATATTTATTATTGCCATGTGAAAGGAGAAATTGTCCTTGGCTATTTAAATCCGGCTTGAGAAATATTTGGATATTGAAATTGAAATAAAAGCAGAGAGTTTGAAAATTGAAATTAAAGTGAGAGAATCAGTCAATTGAGTTTAATTGAAATGAGAAGAATGGCTACATCAAGTTTTGCTTATTATATGCATTTCAAAGCTTTCTTCCTGACACTTTCCTATATTTCAAAGTGTAAGCAATTAGATACCTTAGGATAGATTCAATTTGAGATAGTTTTTAAGGTCATTGGTTGTATTCTTGTTATTAACAATCGATTTTGGATGCTAAATTTTAAGTATTTCCTTTTCATCGAGAAAAGACATTCATTAATTAAAGATTGTGCAAAAGGCATTCAATTTTTAACCTAGTTTCTAGAACACGCTGATTTCAATTAACTTTAAGAACATTTTTTGTTTATACTTTCATGTACTTTGTTAACTTTTTCATATTCTTTAAAAAATAAAGAAAAATACTATTCATAAACTATGAAAATCATATTTATTTACTTTTTATACTTGTCTTTAATGACTCTCTTGATTTTGTAGTTTAATAAATTTTAACTAGAGAAATACGTACTTAAGAGTTATTTTTATTTTCTAGTGTTTAATAAATTTTAACCGCTGATAAAAATGTGTTTAAAAAATGAATTAGATAACTGGTTGCTAGAAATTCTCCTAAGTATAAAAAAATTGAAAGAAATTTATAAAACGAAATAGTTAAAACAATAAGGAAATATCATCTTTCTCGGCAGTAATCAGGATTTTTTTTTTCAAGAAACATATTTCACAATGCATTCAACATAAAAACTCGAAGTCAAAGCAAACACGTAGCAAGTTTGTCTTCATCTCTTTAATCTTTGCAATCATAACCACACCTTCAACTTTTTTTTTATATGAAAACATTTTCTTTCTATGTTTCCTTATTATGTTCGAGAATTCTTATTTCTTGCTTTCTTCCATGTGCATATGCTTCGGAAAGGTATCATTCGCAATTATAACAGTAAGTTTAAGCCTAAAATTCCTTTTATATAAATTTATATTACTTTAACTAGTGATTTATAACTTAAATCATGTTTTTGAAATATGATGAGATATGATACATGAATAAATTGTTATATTATTGAATATGCCTGCGGTGTATTCTTTAGTATTTGTAGCCCCTGGAAATATAATGCAAAAGTTGAATAATGAACCAATCCAAACTATAACGTCTTAATCAGATTCAATATAGTAGTCAAATCAAAATATAATTTACCGTTACAATGAGATCGAATTACTTTTAACCTAAACCACAAACACCATCACTTCGAAATTCACATTTATAGCTTACATTAAATGCAGTAATAAAAAGTGCTCCTGTGGGCAAGTTAGAAATGTTCATTTACGAGTGGTTAAAAATAAAATGGAATGCCAAATATTTTTTCTTACTTTGGTGACGACATTCAGCCGACCAAATTGGTCAAGGAGTTCGTATTTCATTCATGATATATAACCATTGAAACAAAATTTATCTTATTTCTTCTACTTCAAAATGAGTTATAAAGCTGTTTATCCATAAGACACTGATTTCATTACAATTCAAGGATGATGACTACAAACAAAAAATATTTCTTTTATATCAAACGGTGCTCATGTGAAATAGAATATCACACATCAAACACTTTTGCATTGTACCTGATAATATCATAAACCAAATCACCCCCACTTCTAGAAAGATGGCAGAAACTCCCTCTCCCTCAGAGTGAGAGGCAACATGTAAAACTCTGCCAGATATGCAAACTGTAAAACTCTGCCAGATATGCAAACTGTAAAACTCTGCCGGATATGCAGCAGCATATTCAATTTAACTAGCTCTCCTGGAAGAATGTGCGGATGAATCAGATTTTTCAGCCAGATAATGCTCAAGCATATCCTCCTCGTCATCATCTGCCGAGACAAACATACAACACTTAGAAACTAAGAGGATTTGATTCAAAGAAACAGAAAGAATGAGAAGTGTACCTTCAAAATCATCTTCATCAAAGTCAATATCTTCCTCGTCCTCCAGATCAGATTCCTCATTGACAGCAGCCACACCTTTCTGTGAATGAACAAAAACAGCTGGTATATTTATATATGTTCACAAAATTTAAGAGAATTATAATGGGAATTAGATTCTAAAAAACATGATCCATTAACCAAGTGCGATGGTTAATGGAATTTTAAGAGAATCATCCGTTATGGATTGTTCTATAGGTAACATTAATTAACAAGGAACCTTGGATAACAACCGGGATGTATTAGACACTGCTGTGGTTAAATTTTGTATGAAGTAAATTTAGAGGTAACTGGGCCACCAGTGATAAATTTTACATCTCAAACTTTGCAATAATAATCTCAACTCTTTCAATAGGAAGGCACCATTTTCCAACAAATTCTATAGTCCGAGGACCTTTTCTCAGACATTATCAATTAACAGTTGGAGTTTGTTAGGGTATAAGGTGGGAGGTAATGAGAAAGAGAAGAAAGGTAGGAGGGAAGTGAGGCCGAACGGTATTGACCGTAAAAGCCGAACAGTGGAAGGCATGGAGAGGTAAGGCCGAACGATGGACAAGGGGAACGGTCAGACTGAACGATGGACAAAGGGGAGCGACCAGTCCGAACGATGGACAACGGGGAGCGACCAGGCCAAACGGTGGAGGCAAGGAGCGACCAGGCCGAATGATGGGAGACAAGGAGCGACCAGGCCAAACGGTGGAAAGCAGGGAAGGACCTGAGCCGAACGGTTGAAGAATCACCATCTTAACTGCTCAGCAGTTAGGGGGGCGAGAGCTAATTACAGTAAAAGGAGCCACAATAGGAGAGAATATTCAGTATAAATTAATTAGAGTAAATAAATATATATCCTAGAGAAATATTCAATATAAGATATTTATAATTAAGGACATATGCTAGGATAATATATGGGAGATATTTATATTAAATATAGAGATATTTATATTAAATGCATATATATTCTAGGGAAATATTTAGTAAGAGATGGGGCGGGAAATAATTAGTATAAATAAAGCTAGAGTCTAGGGTTAAGGGTTTGCTTTTGATTATTGAGTTTTGTGACAGACATTATTGTCTTGTGAGGGAGGTTATGCTCCCAAATAATTGATTATGCTCCCAATTATTGTTTACTTTTGTTTATTCAGATATTACCATCAATAAAAGATATTCATTCATTCAATTCCATTCTTTCATTATTCTTTTGCTTGTTGAGAGTGTGTGAGAGGGTGATTTCGTTACGTCTCCTACTCGGATAAGTAACAGAGTTTCTTTTTAACTAAATATAAAACAATTTCAGGTTAATGGTTTAGTTTAGTAGAAAGTACCAAATTCGCTTGAGTTGTAAAACGTTAACACAACAAATATTAATTTAGGACAACTAGGTACGAATAAGAATAGTTAGGAAAAGAAGATACCGCTCTTCCACTTTCAAACCATTGTCTACCACTGGGCTTCTTTTCCTTAGGCGCTGTGAGCACAGATTCGGGCATTAGCCTGAAATTAGAACAAATTGATTTGGCATTAAAAGGAAAGTAGTTGCAGTAGATTATCAGTAGTTTCTAGTTAGAACTCGTGAATAAAAAGAACTTGGGTAAGGGATTGACTAACTCATTAATGATTCTACATTTCAAATTTATAATCCACCCACCCCCATTATCTTTCCCCTATCTTCTTACTGCTATATATGATACATACATTTAAATTCTCTACCCCATCAGATAATCGCGAATCAGGTGTCGTCACATGGACTTGTGAAGTACATTGATTAGCCAACAGAAAACCTTTGTCTTTCAAAATTGTGGATATGATGAAAAGACTTAAAAAACTAAAGGGAGCTTACTTGGCTCGTTCCAATGCTAGTTCCGCTTCAAACCTTTCTCTCCATGCCAAAAATGTTTCAACAGTAACTGGTTCTCCGTGGGGTATCACTATCTAAAATGTTAGATAAATAAAATTATCATGGAGCTTTTAAAACACAGTTTCATAAGCAAATGCATAAAATTATAAAAAGAATATATTGCAGAGGAAATACGACATCCTAAAATGAATCCAGTTACTACAATAACTAATATCATAATTAAGAACTACAAGACAATCCTTTAGAAAACATTAATAGACAAGTAATTGTATGAAAAAAATGTCTAGTCTATAATTCTACATGATCATTTACTAAGTGCAATCTAGTGGGAAAGCTTTTCTGACAATCCCAAAGGAGGAAATCAGACAATAAAAACATCTACCACATAGGATAATGAACACTAGTGATTATTGAACGTAATATATTACAGAGAAAATTATTATTTTCCTTTATAGTAAAAAGCATAGGAAGCTACGAGGCATCTAAGCTAAAATAATATCTTTCACTGACCAAATCTACAGATTAAAAAATTAAAGCATCAAATCCAAATGCAAGGTACAAGATTTATTGGAGATAGCGTAACATTCAGTAACAGTGATCTTGTTAGCATTACTCATTAATTAATGAGCCATGAATTTTAAGTTTAATAACTGGAATAGAGCAATTTCTTAAAAGTATAGGATACATACGTAAAGCATAGTAAGTAATTAAAATTACCGTCAGTGTGTAACAATAATAATTTTAAAACGTTTTAGGGATAACAAGAATTACACCTTCAATTACTTTCTTATGTTATTTTTGTGTGTGGAAGTCCATTTTTATGCTTTTAAAATTTATGTTGAAATTGTAGGCTTGTAGCAATCTCATTTATAGTCTTTACTAGTATTCAGTGTATGTAGTTCTAATCTTGGCACAAGATGTTATGCACCCAAGGCTTTTCGCATGAGAATGTGCCAGAGATGTAAAAAATTAAAAATTTCAAGAGCATCCACCTAACCTAACAGCTTATGTATTTAGAAGACTTGGTATTCGAAGAAGGTATATTCCAGGCAGCTAATCTTAAGTATTTAGAAACTATACTGTTTACATATACAACTAAAGCGTTTAGAAATAATTTCCTGGAAGTACAAGTCAGCTCATGACCTATACATCTAAGGGAAGGGGTTATATCCCTTCCAATACTAAATGAATAAATTCTGTATGTCGTGGGGGACACAAGAATTAGGGTGAACCACCAATATGTCTAGGAGAGGCCCATTCTCAAATAAGGTTGCTAGGAAGGAAAAGACTCTATCATGCATGGTAGTTATGTGTCTCGTAACTGACTGTTATGGGAATCTGGTTCCTGCATAAGTCCTATGTGGTTGGCAAAAGAGTAGTCCATCCACGCTTATGGGCAAAAAAACTAAGCTTTGATAACATACAACCTAATGTAAAGGAAAAAACATTCCTTAAAGGCAGGCAATTAAGAGAGGCAGGAGATTATCTACTTTAAAATGGGGGTTCAATGTCTCAGCTAGTCATTACAGGACTCAAGCTCCTGCATCACCACACCAGATGCGGCAACCTATACTATAGACTTCTCTGTTTAAGTTTTAAACTTTCAATTTTCATAAGGATCCAGATCCCTTTGAAGGATATAATCCCCCGATCAATTTCTCATTAGTGTTTAAAGGGATCAAATTACCATTCTCTGACATTGATGTCCTGTCAAGAATCTTCACCAGTCTACACGTATTAGCTTAAGTATCCTTCTTTATCATGTTAACTTACTCCATCCAAGCTATATATCTGAACTCTAAAGTTTAATCATTTATTTATTCTATATCTTGATACTCTCTACATAAGTATATCCATATTGGATACTATCCGATTCCAGCAAATTCACATGTGCACTAATTCATGCTTTGCAGCTAACTAACATACAGAAATAAATAAAAATATTTAAAAAAAAAAATACACTGTTTTTGCACTTGAAATGTAGAAAGCATTGAACTAGATTTGTATTCGGATTAGATACATTTTAGATATTATAATCTGTTTTCATTAAAAAAATGTTTATAACATTGTTCTCTCTTCTTTGGTAATATTGGTAAAAATCAGATAATTTTAAATTTTTCTATTACAGAATAAAGTTATTTCCAAATAAGCAAGATTTTAAAGATTATGAGCAAAAGAAAAGCTAAGAAACTATTTTCTAGCCAGCTTCTGTTTTCCCATTTAACACCAACAATTGAATTGATTAATTTAAACACAGAGCCAACTCCTACAAATGACTTCTTGTTCCATACCAACTTTTTCGCAATTTTACTATAAATTTTTTTATTACTTTAGATGATTCAAATGAAAGATAAACTACTTTTCACCCAGCATATCCAACATCCAAAACTAAAACTCGTTTCATAAAATTAATTATAATAATCATAGACTATATCTATAAGTGATAATTGAAATAGTCTGTAAAAATAATTCAATTCAAGTAGACTAACTAAAATTTCTAAAGAAATTTACAAAACAGACAACATTCTTACATCATCTTTGGCTGCCTCTTCTACTTCAGTACTCCCATCAACAGAGTCTTGACAGAACCGGTCAGACAGCCACTCTTTAGCTGAGGTAACAAGTGTGTATATCATAGCCATACCAAGATTTTCAGAAGCCTGTGGAACACAGGTTTTGCATCAAAATATCCATAACCTAGCCAGAATCCACCACAAATCTATAGTTTCATAACCATCAGTTCTTGTGCAAAATGAAAATTCACTAATCACTACAAACATATTAACTTTATAGTGGCTATTAAGATGTCTTTCAATCTGAATAACAACCACTGCAAGAATAACACAAACAATATCTGATCAAACATTAAATACCAACACTGCATTGCAAAATGACTACCTCTTGTAGAAGTTTTTCTTTCAAAATCCTTAGATCTTCAATATGTATTCCTTGCAAACTGTTAGTATAAATGAAAAAAGAAAAAAAAAACGTATCATAATATTAGTGTTTAATAAAATGAAACGAAAACATCATAATGCACATGAAATTAACAGGACAGACAACTAAAAATATAATAAATATTATAAAATTATAATAGCAATACTAACCTTTTCAAATTTAAAAGGGGAGGTTCATCGGGATATCTTTCTGTGTGTGAAAATATCAAAGCCAGTTGAGCTGAAACAAAAACATCAAATGCGTCCTTCATACATTATGCAGTAAATAATCTCCATCCAAGCAGTATCTTGGGAAGAAAAACAAGATATTCAAACATCTAAAGTACATGTCCAATCAAATTGAACACCAACATGGAAAATAAAATATACTAAAGAGAAAGAAAACACAAACCTGGATTAGTTATTGGCCCATCAGTATCGTCGTCCTGTACAGATGAATAGTATTTAGATAAATATAAGGGTGAGTTTTGCTAAGTTATTTGATTGGGAAGACGTCTCAGTTCCCTACGTAGATTGCATCAGTCGGGGGGAGTGTAAATAAACCCAACTTCTAAATCTCCTAAAGCTAAAACTACAGGAAACTTTGCCCAACAAGCTACATTTAACCAAAAGATGAAATTAATATTATTCCAATTCATTTCAACGAGTGTCATCAGTGAGAACATGTTATTCTCTTCTTCTCGACAACAGAAGAATTTCACTAAATAGAAAAAGAAAAGTAAGCTAATATTCCAAATATATGGATTAGAACAACACAAAACACCAAATGTTTCCATCGTAAATAAGCTGCGTAAGAGGAACNCTAGAAAGATGGCAGAAACTCCCTCTCCCTCAGAGTGAGAGGCAACATGTAAAACTCTGCCAGATATGCAAACTGTAAAACTCTGCCAGATATGCAAACTGTAAAACTCTGCCGGATATGCAGCAGCATATTCAATTTAACTAGCTCTCCTGGAAGAATGTGCGGATGAATCAGATTTTTCAGCCAGATAATGCTCAAGCATATCCTCCTCGTCATCATCTGCCGAGACAAACATACAACACTTACAAACTAAGGATTTGATTCAAAGAAACAGAAAGAATGAGAAGTGTACCTTCAAAATCATCTTCATCAAAGTCAATATCTTCCTCGTCCTCCAGATCAGATTCCTCATTGACAGCAGCCACACCTTTCTGTGAATGAACAAAAACAGCTGGTATATTTATATATGTTCACAAAATTTAAGAGAATTATAATGGGAATTAGATTCTAAAAAACATGATCCATTAACCAAGTGCGATGGTTAATGGAATTTTAAGAGAATCATCCGTTATGGATTGTTCTATAGGTAACATTAATTAACAAGGAACCTTGGATAACAACCGGGATGTATTAGACACTGCTGTGGTTAAATTTTGTATGAAGTAAATTTAGAGGTAACTGGGCCACCAGTGATAAATTTTACATCTCAAACTTTGCAATAATAATCTCAACTCTTTCAATAGGAAGGCACCATTTTCCAACAAATTCTATAGTCCGAGGACCTTTTCTCAGACATTATCAATTAACAGTTGGAGTTTGTTAGGGTATAAGGTGGGAGGTAATGAGAAAGAGAAGAAAGGTAGGAGGGAAGTGAGGCCGAACGGTATTGACCGTAAAAGCCGAACAGTGGAAGGCATGGAGAGGTAAGGCCGAACGATGGACAAGGGGAACGGTCAGACTGAACGATGGACAAAGGGGAGCGACCAGTCCGAACGATGGACAACGGGGAGCGACCAGGCCAAACGGTGGAGGCAAGGAGCGACCAGGCCGAATGATGGGAGACAAGGAGCGACCAGGCCAAACGGTGGAAAGCAGGGAAGGACCTGAGCCGAACGGTTGAAGAATCACCATCTTAACTGCTCAGCAGTTAGGGGGGCGAGAGCTAATTACAGTAAAAGGAGCCACAATAGGAGAGAATATTCAGTATAAATTAATTAGAGTAAATAAATATATATCCTAGAGAAATATTCAATATAAGATATTTATAATTAAGGACATATGCTAGGATAATATATGGGAGATATTTATATTAAATATAGAGATATTTATATTAAATGCATATATATTCTAGGGAAATATTTAGTAAGAGATGGGGCGGGAAATAATTAGTATAAATAAAGCTAGAGTCTAGGGTTAAGGGAATGCTTTTGATTATTGAGTTTTGTGACAGACATTATTGTCTTGTGAGGGAGGTTATGCTCCCAAATAATTGATTATGCTCCCAATTATTGTTTACTTTTGTTTATTCAGATATTACCATCAATAAAAGATATTCATTCATTCAATTCCATTCTTTCATTATTCTTTTGCTTGTTGAGAGTGTGTGAGAGGGTGATTTCGTTACGTCTCCTACTCGGATAAGTAACAGAGTTTCTTTTTAACTAAATATAAAACAATTTCAGGTTAATGGTTTAGTTTAGTAGAAAGTACCAAATTCGCTTGAGTTGTAAAACGTTAACACAACAAATATTAATTTAGGACAACTAGGTACGAATAAGAATAGTTAGGAAAAGAAGATACCGCTCTTCCACTTTCAAACCATTGTCTACCACTGGGCTTCTTTTCCTTAGGCGCTGTGAGCACAGATTCGGGCATTAGCCTGAAATTAGAACAAATTGATTTGGCATTAAAAGGAAAGTAGTTGCAGTAGATTATCAGTAGTTTCTAGTTAGAACTCGTGAATAAAAAGAACTTGGGTAAGGGATTGACTAACTCATTAATGATTCTACATTTCAAATTTATAATCCACCCACCCCCATTATCTTTCCCCTATCTTCTTACTGCTATATATGATACATACATTTAAATTCTCTACCCCATCAGATAATCGCGAATCAGGTGTCGTCACATGGACTTGTGAAGTACATTGATTAGCCAACAGAAAACCTTTGTCTTTCAAAATTGTGGATATGATGAAAAGACTTAAAAAACTAAAGGGAGCTTACTTGGCTCGTTCCAATGCTAGTTCCGCTTCAAACCTTTCTCTCCATGCCAAAAATGTTTCAACAGTAACTGGTTCTCCGTGGGGTATCACTATCTAAAATGTTAGATAAATAAAATTATCATGGAGCTTTTAAAACACAGTTTCATAAGCAAATGCATAAAATTATAAAAAGAATATATTGCAGAGGAAATACGACATCCTAAAATGAATCCAGTTACTACAATAACTAATATCATAATTAAGAACTACAAGACAATCCTTTAGAAAACATTAATAGACAAGTAATTGTATGAAAAAAATGTCTAGTCTATAATTCTACATGATCATTTACTAAGTGCAATCTAGTGGGAAAGCTTTTCTGACAATCCCAAAGGAGGAAATCAGACAATAAAAACATCTACCACATAGGATAATGAACACTAGTGATTATTGAACGTAATATATTACAGAGAAAATTATTATTTTCCTTTATAGTAAAAAGCATAGGAAGCTACGAGGCATCTAAGCTAAAATAATATCTTTCACTGACCAAATCTACAGATTAAAAAATTAAAGCATCAAATCCAAATGCAAGGTACAAGATTTATTGGAGATAGCGTAACATTCAGTAACAGTGATCTTGTTAGCATTACTCATTAATTAATGAGCCATGAATTTTAAGTTTAATAACTGGAATAGAGCAATTTCTTAAAAGTATAGGATACATACGTAAAGCATAGTAAGTAATTAAAATTACCGTCAGTGTGTAACAATAATAATTTTAAAACGTTTTAGGGATAACAAGAATTACACCTTCAATTACTTTCTTATGTTATTTTTGTGTGTGGAAGTCCATTTTTATGCTTTTAAAATTTATGTTGAAATTGTAGGCTTGTAGCAATCTCATTTATAGTCTTTACTAGTATTCAGTGTATGTAGTTCTAATCTTGGCACAAGATGTTATGCACCCAAGGCTTTTCGCATGAGAATGTGCCAGAGATGTAAAAAATTAAAAATTTCAAGAGCATCCACCTAACCTAACAGCTTATGTATTTAGAAGACTTGGTATTCGAAGAAGGTATATTCCAGGCAGCTAATCTTAAGTATTTAGAAACTATACTGTTTACATATACAACTAAAGCGTTTAGAAATAATTTCCTGGAAGTACAAGTCAGCTCATGACCTATACATCTAAGGGAAGGGGTTATATCCCTTCCAATACTAAATGAATAAATTCTGTATGTCGTGGGGGACACAAGAATTAGGGTGAACCACCAATATGTCTAGGAGAGGCCCATTCTCAAATAAGGTTGCTAGGAAGGAAAAGACTCTATCATGCATGGTAGTTATGTGTCTCGTAACTGACTGTTATGGGAATCTGGTTCCTGCATAAGTCCTATGTGGTTGGCAAAAGAGTAGTCCATCCACGCTTATGGGCAAAAAAACTAAGCTTTGATAACATACAACCTAATGTAAAGGAAAAAACATTCCTTAAAGGCAGGCAATTAAGAGAGGCAGGAGATTATCTACTTTAAAATGGGGGTTCAATGTCTCAGCTAGTCATTACAGGACTCAAGCTCCTGCATCACCACACCAGATGCGGCAACCTATACTATAGACTTCTCTGTTTAAGTTTTAAACTTTCAATTTTCATAAGGATCCAGATCCCTTTGAAGGATATAATCCCCCGATCAATTTCTCATTAGTGTTTAAAGGGATCAAATTACCATTCTCTGACATTGATGTCCTGTCAAGAATCTTCACCAGTCTACACGTATTAGCTTAAGTATCCTTCTTTATCATGTTAACTTACTCCATCCAAGCTATATATCTGAACTCTAAAGTTTAATCATTTATTTATTCTATATCTTGATACTCTCTACATAAGTATATCCATATTGGATACTATCCGATTCCAGCAAATTCACATGTGCACTAATTCATGCTTTGCAGCTAACTAACATACAGAAATAAATAAAAATATTTAAAAAAAAAAATACACTGTTTTTGCACTTGAAATGTAGAAAGCATTGAACTAGATTTGTATTCGGATTAGATACATTTTAGATATTATAATCTGTTTTCATTAAAAAAATGTTTATAACATTGTTCTCTCTTCTTTGGTAATATTGGTAAAAATCAGATAATTTTAAATTTTTCTATTACAGAATAAAGTTATTTCCAAATAAGCAAGATTTTAAAGATTATGAGCAAAAGAAAAGCTAAGAAACTATTTTCTAGCCAGCTTCTGTTTTCCCATTTAACACCAACAATTGAATTGATTAATTTAAACACAGAGCCAACTCCTACAAATGACTTCTTGTTCCATACCAACTTTTTCGCAATTTTACTATAAATTTTTTTATTACTTTAGATGATTCAAATGAAAGATAAACTACTTTTCACCCAGCATATCCAACATCCAAAACTAAAACTCGTTTCATAAAATTAATTATAATAATCATAGACTATATCTATAAGTGATAATTGAAATAGTCTGTAAAAATAATTCAATTCAAGTAGACTAACTAAAATTTCTAAAGAAATTTACAAAACAGACAACATTCTTACATCATCTTTGGCTGCCTCTTCTACTTCAGTACTCCCATCAACAGAGTCTTGACAGAACCGGTCAGACAGCCACTCTTTAGCTGAGGTAACAAGTGTGTATATCATAGCC